AAGCAGGAAATAGTTGCTGGAGGGAAGAATTTGAGTGTTCTCATGCAATTCAAACCCAGGAACTTATAAAAGAAAAGAAATTAACAGAAAGAGCTATTGATGAAGCTGAGTTTATGTAGGATATTCAGATTTTACAAATATTCATTAAATTAGAATGATTATCATTTAATCTAAATTTCTAATCGGCTTGAAAGCAAAACAATTTGAAATTTTTGCACATACACTCGTTTCATTTCAATTTTTATCCCTCAATTTTTCCTATATCGTTTCTCTGATTGAAAAGCTACATAATAGTTACCGTATTTTCTCTAATAGTAGTGCACCCCAGCAAGCTGAGTTGATGAATATTTTACGGGTTCCAAAGTTTTCACAGAAGCTCAACACTTAAATCTCCCACTAGATCTCATTTTCAGCTACATTTCCCACCCTACATCGATAGGTTCTGGTAAGCGGTTCTCGAGATTTCGAGGAATTTAGGCGACACTCAGGGTGCACTACTATTAGAGAAAATAAGGTATATGTGAATTGTTGCGAATTGTTGAGCTATAAAATAGTTTTACTTTAGACTTTACATTAGTTGAACAGGCTAAACCTGTGCAAGACATCTAATTTAAGGAAATGCAAATTTTGCAGAGCTATAACAAGAAATTATCAATGAATTTTTAATAATTATTAAATCAATAAACTTCCTTCAAAACAAACATCAAAGAAAAACAAAAAATGGGCCATAGTAAAAGCTTTTCCTTTTCCGGAGATTGGTACAATTCAGCCAAAAGGCTAATTGAGCACAAGTCGATACATTGGGGAGAGCAAAGTAACTAGATTTTTATAGATTTCGAGAGAAATTAAGTTTTTTCAGAGATCTGATTGGAAATGAGTTGATGAGTCAAATAGCAGTTTCCTGTTTGTTTTCTATTTTTCGAAATGACATGAGCAAGCATCGAAGGTGGTTAGTGAGTCAATTAAGTAGAAAAGTTGGAAAGAATCTTAATGTGGCGAATTGCCACTGCTCTGCAGTTAGTCAAAAAGTCAATACAAGTTAAAGTTCAAAGTTGCTGGATAAACTACCGTAATCAGTCACTAAATGATACTCAGCTGTCCGGTTGTTGTAGCTTGTATGCTTAAAAAACCCATTATTTAAGCTTTGCTTTTGAGTGAGTTTGTTGTTCTCCTTTTTTGTGCTTTATCATTCTTTTTTCACATTCAAGTGTTGATTTAATTGTGATAGTGCCAAGTTGCTCTAGTTTGAGCGAAGTTGCCCTAATAAGGGAAAGTTGGATAAATTATTACGTTTTCAAGAAGACCACCATTGAACCACACCGAGACACGGTCTCGCAAGAAATTATATAGATCAAAACATCAACATACATTTCTTACACTTAATCTTTTATTCAAAAATCTTTCAAAATATATTTTTCAGACCTTTTTAAATAATTTTAGTTTTAAATAGTTTTTCAATTGCAGAAAATCTTAAAACAAAACTGATTTAGACTTTAATTTAACTTGAAATTTGTTTCGTTTGCAATAATAAGAGGATAATAAGAGGTGGAGGAAGTTTCAAGTTGAATTAAAGCCTAAATCAGTTTTGTTTCAAGGCAAGAGTGAGAATGAAAATGATTGAAAATCAAATTCGAGTGTTCTCTGATTCGATTTCTAGAGTCATGGACAAAAGTCTTTTAACGTCAGTTTTTAGAAGTTTGTTCTTTGTATATTTTGATCCAAATTTGACCAATTTGCAAACGGTTGAAAGATTTGTTCTTTTTATTTCAATTTTTATTTAAAGAGCTTATTATCTCTAATTTTAACATTACAAAAAGATGGATTTGGACAAAAAGACAATTGACAATTTCTCAGGTGTCATGAGCCTTTTAAACCAACGTTAAAAGTTAAAGACTTTTGTCTGTATCCATGACTGTATTTTCAATTCATGAGTAATAAGAATGACGAAAAAAAAACGGTTCAATGAATCAGTTGAAAAAATGAAAATGACAAAGGGAAATCTACTGTCTATCTACTGAAATCTATCTACTATTTTGTACCTTTGTACTTGCTAAAAATTTCAAAACCAATCCATTCTTGTCTTAAGCAAAATAGAGCTGATTTAGAGCAAAATAGAGCAAAATAGAGCTCAAAATAAAGCAAGAAAAAAAAGCTATTTTCTTTGAATGAAGAAGTAAACTTTTTTGGAATCTTGGAAACTCTTGAAAGTGATTTAAAAGCTTTAAAAGCTTTTAAAGCTAGAAAGTTTCAAACTTTTGCCTTTTTACGTAATGCATTCAAAGATCCCTCGATTTCATTCGTGGATTTCTCGTTTTTATTGCCGATTTGAGTCGAATAAAAGTGGAAACTGGTGACAAAAAATGTTGCAGACAAAAAAAAAGAATTTTCACCAAAAATGATCTTTGTTTTTTTGTGTTTAGACTGGTCAAAAGAAGCAAAACAGAAAAAAAAGACGTCATTTGATGAAATGCAAGCTTTAGTCAGACTTGGAATTGTCACAAAGCACAAAATAAAAATTGATCAAAGAATTGTCACAAAGCTTTGAAAACACGAAATTGTTTAGTCTAAATGAGGTCAAGTTTTCAGTTCTATTATTTAAAACGAAGGTTAACTAATGTAAAAGATTCTCTTTCTAAATATGATAAAGGAAATTTATTTTTAAAATTAATGCAATTGTCATAAAATGGAATCTTTTTGGAAAAGCGGAACTAGCAAAGAGATGGAGAGCATGTGAGTGAGAGGCATTATCAACAAATGTCATCAAATGTCATCAAATCGATCAAATCGATCAAATCGGCCACCCACTCATGCACAATCGTCTCTTTTATAGCAGAGATCACTTCAAGAAATTGAAAATGTTTTGGGATTCTTGGGGAAAATTGTTTTAAAGGTTTAAATTTAAGAAACAAATATCCGAAGAATCATTTTTATAGAATACCCTTTCGAGTACGGATGGTCAAAGTGATTTTTTAAGGCCAAAAAACTTTTGATGAAAACTATAAACCTGAAATTTTCTATTTTAATTTGTTCGTTCGTTCTTTATAAATCGTTCGAATTTTTTTCAGTCACGAGCTTTCATTTCTCGTGCTCAAAAATCAAAAGTTCATCTCTGTCTATCTTGATTTCAACGATTTGCTCAAATGTGACCTTGAAAGTATTATCTCCGTGCCACGATCTTTAACTTTAAATAATAAAACAAAGATCTCTGCATTGAATAGAAAATGTAGAACTGAAAAGCGGTGAAAAGTTAAAGGTTTATAACTTAACAGCTAAAAGCCATGACTATTCAAGCCAAGCCAGGATCTAGCTAAGCTAGAGGAAAGCCATAGCCAAAGGTTGGCTATGCTTTGGCTTAGATTAGAAAATGAAGAACAGACACGTCTTTTGATCTTTAATCAATTCAATTCTTAAAGCTTTTATTAACCAAAAATCCCTAATTTTTGATTGTTTTGACTAAAAAAAGTTTCCCAATCGCGACATTGCAAAAAGCAATCAATCCAAATAATACCTTGTTCTTTGTGGCATTTTGCTGGTTTATGATGCTGGTTGTTAAGCTCTGATAGTGAATGATTTCCTCTAAAAGCTTCAAGTGAAATGAAAAGATAACAAAAAAAAACGAAAATTTGGCTTGTTTCTATTTTGCGATGTTGTTATTTTTCTCTCCTGGTTTCAGATAGGTAATTGAATCGAATGAAGGGCTGAGAAGTTTTGAGTGGAAAAATGTGTCAAGAACATTGCTAGATTAGGTAAAATTCTGTTGACAATTTAATTCCTATTCACTTTTCCTATTTCCTGTCTAAAAGTCTTCAATCATTAGATGAAATCACGAAATTTCTATTTTTGTTTTTTCATTTCTCAAGTGACTTTGATTAGGCAAAGAATACTCGCAATCAGTACCCATTTCAAAGTTTTAAAAGATGAAACTTCCGGAAAAATACCGGAAGTTTCATCCTTTAAAAAGTGACATCCTTTAACGTTAAATTTCTGATTTTATAATGTCTCTAGTAGGAAATTATCAATTTGTTTATCAACCATTTCTTGTTTTGCTAAATTGTTTGACTTTATTGTTTGCTGTTTGTTCGGCTAGACAGGGTTCATCGTTTTATTGGCTGCTTTACTCGCAAAGTGAGTTTCTCTGAAGTAAATATAGCTTTGTCTAAAAATTTACATTTAACTAAGTTTGTTTGTGATTTAAAAACTCAAGGATTAAAGACATAGATAGAATCTAAACCTTCTAAAGTTGAAGTGTTGCATTGAACCGGTTGAAGGCAGTCACCCAAAAGCAGTCACATTTTCAGTTTCAAATCAAGCTAAAACCAAAACAGTAGACTATTTTACATTTACCGTATTTCCTCTAATAGTAGTGCACCGAGCCGAGCCGAGTTGGTGGCTATTTCCCGGATTTCAAGCTTTTGCAGAAGCTCAACACTCTAATCCCCCACTAGATCTCATCGTCAGCTACATTTTCCGACCCCACATCGATGGGTTCTGATAAGCGGTTCTCGAGATTTCGAGGAATTTAGGCGACGCTCTGGGTGCACTACTATTAGAGAAAATACGGTATTCCAAATTGCTTCTGATCACCGGGAAAACTTTAATTCCATCAAAAGATCAATTCGTATGAATTCCAACAAGAATTTGGGATGCACTAGAACTCAAACCTGATCTGTTTCTTACCAAATTTGATCTGACTCTGACCTTGATTACAGGTTCTAGGCCTAGTTAAATACTCCTAATTTTTTAGCGGTAAATCTACTACCGTATTTCCTCTAATAGTAGTGCGCCCCCGGCGAGCCGAGTTGGTGACTATTTTACGGTCCAAAGTTTTCACAGAAGCTCAACACTCAAATCCCCCACTAGATCTCATCGTTAGCTACCTTTTCCAACCCCACATCGATAGGTTCTGATAAGCGGTTCTCGAGATTTCGAGGAATTTAGGCGACGCTCAGGGTACACTACTATTAGAGAAAATACGGTAATTTATTTATTTAGTCTTCTCAATGGGCTGCAATTGTATGATGAGGACTCTTTTGACAGCAACGAGTGTCTTCGAGATTCTTCTAGATAATGGCGTCTTTCTCCTCTTCAATTTCTATTGTCAATACGCCTTTGCTATAATCACTTACACAGGAATTATCATCATAGCCTTGAATCGATTGCTGGCCGTTTTCCATCCGCTTCAGTATTCAAAGGTTTTTTTGGACAATCTGTTTAACTTGATTTTGTACTTCAATTCCGTACCTCACTACAGTATTCTGGGATAGATGCTGGGATAGATTCTGGGATAGATTCTGGGATAGATTCTGGGATAGATTCTGGGATAGATTCTGGGATAGATTCACAAGCTAATGTATTCTCAAGTCAGCCCTAGTCAAACCAAGCTATGACTTAACTAAAACAAATCCAAGAATTGATCCAAAGTTTAAAGCAGTTTTTTCAATCTGAAACCTGCAAATCGCAATTTTAGGTGTTCTCCCTGGAGTTAACCTTTTACTACCTCATCCTGCAATATGTCATTGCTTTTGGTGTGCCAATTTTTATTCTCTTTGGCCAAACCACCGTCACTAAAGTCGGCAATCAAACAATTGCCACGGCAAATGATCTCTCAAAAGTAAGCCAAGTTTTAGCATAAAATGATGAATTATATTACCGATCAAAATAAAATCCCCTCCAAAAAAGTGTCCCTTTTTTGGAAGCTTGTCACATTTTGTCTACTCATCGTACAAGCAAGTGCCATGGAGATTCTAAAAGCCCTTTTTTAGCTCTATAAGATGCACTAGAAGACTTTTAAGAATGCAAAGATTTGAGACGATTTTTGATTTGAACGAAACAACGATTTGAATCAGAGATAAAAATTTATGTGCTTTTCAGGGTGATTTTTATCTATCGTAGACCCATCGAATCAATTTTAAACTGTGTTTTTTGAAAAGAGCGTATAAAATTGATCATAGAAAAGTGTTTTTCGAAATTTTTTAACGGTTCTCACTAGAAAAACAAGGCCGAAATGGAAATCCCCGCCTTAAGCTGCCTTTAGTGTAGCTCTGGGTTAACCACCAAATCCATTAGACGCTTCTCGGACTGTTTGTAGTGATTATTGTTGGTTTAGATATAATCTTTATTACAGCAATAATAGTTGGTTCAGTGGTTTGGGATTGGGAGAGTAGAGACGACTCCACGGCACATCCCGACAGCTCGTTCACATTGCTTTTATACAGAACTTTGGCGTTGGTCTCGTCTTGCACACAATGGAGTTGAACGGATAGCGAGGCTTTTGTGCTAATTAACCTTTTTTTAAGTGTTTTTATTGAATTTAATAATATTAACTATTAATAATAATATTAATAATAATTTAATAATAATATTAACCCCATTTAAAAGCTTCAAAATCTCACAAGAATTCTTTACTTTTGCTTTTCAATAATATTGCAGCTTTCAGTCTTGATGCTAAGCTTGAAAATTTAAAAGTATAACTTGCTAGATCTTAATTAAAGTGATAAAAACACTAAAAAGCGCTTTCAGAATCTTCATGGTAGATGCTTGTAAGATGACTAGACAAAATGTTACAAGCCTCCAAAGAAGGGACACTTTTTTGAGGGGTTATAATTTTGATCAGTACTGTATTTATTTAGGTGATTTGGTGGTCAATAGCCGGAATCCTAGTCTTCTGTATGCTCATTTCAATCATCGTCAATCTGTTGACCGTTTGTACTTTGCGGAGGTCGAGCTTCAAGAAAGCGAGTAAAGTGGAAACGAGGCTGCTCATCGTTTCAATAATCACAACAGCGTGAGTGATCCTGTTCACGATCTGAGACTTGTGGGACATTTCCAACTGTTCTTCCTAGAAATGTACTGTACTAGTGATAATCCGACAAGACTCAAGAGTTACATCATGACTTCAGCTTTACATTTAGCGGTATCAGATAAAACTTCAGAGTCTACACAAATGTCGCCTTGTTTCAAATCTTTGCCGGTTTTGCACTCGTCTTCGGCACACTGGGGCTGATTCAAGTGGCAAATTCGCTGGTAAGACTATTTTTACAGAGTTGGATTGAGAGATGAGCTTTGGTATTGTCTAGAGGTAAAACCAGTAGCATATAATAGTCGGAACACGGTATAGAATTGGTATCTTTGATCAGCTAGCTTCTGACAGCTTACAATTAGCTTATTTTGGTACTTTAGTGTTACGTTTTAGGCTTGTGTGCCTGTGGGAGAGTTGAGAGTAAAAGTTCCAATATCTAAGCCACCAAGTACTGACACCACTTTAGACTGTCGCTGTCCGCGACTTGGCCAACTGTGTCGACTGTTTAAGCATCCTTTGGCTCTGTACAGACTTGCAGAAATGGATCAGAAAAGTCAAATATGTAAAAGATCGACCAAAAGCCACTGTCTTGTCCGTAACCCAACGCGAATAAATTTTATTCTTTATTTCAACAACAAAAATGATAGTTCACAGGCCACCATATGATTGGCGTTGATGCTTGATTGGGATTTTGTAACCATTAATTAGACCGGTTGAGGATTGGAAAGTCTGAGAGATTTTAGAGGAAAGATGGTAGAGCCAATCGGGGAGATTTCGACGGAGATTGGCATCAGTTGAAGTGGGTGGGGTGGGGGTTGAAGTGGGCGATGGGTCGATGCTGACGATGAGAGAGCGGCGATGATGGCGACGAGCGAAAGCTCCAACTTCCTGAAAAGCTTTTGTTAACATAGCTGGATCGATTAATTGTTACTTTATCTGCCATGTATATAGAATACAGTAATCTAAAGTCTTATCCATTCTATTTTGAAGTCTAAGAGGTACAGTGCTTCAAAGAGGTTCGATAAAACACTGAAGGAGGGAGAAGCAAAGGCACACTTCATAGTACCGTATTATCTCTAATAGTAATGCACCCCAGCGAGCCGAGTTGATGACTATTTTACGGATTCCAAGCTTTTGCAGAAGCTCAACACTTAAATCCCCCACAAGATCTCATCATCAGCTACATTTTCCGACCCCACATCGATAGGTTCTGATAAGCGGTTCTCGAGATTTTGAGGAATTTAGGCGACGCTCAGGGTGCACTACTATTAGAGAAAATACGGTATATAAAAAAAAGCAGTTTTATTGGCATGATACTTGTAACTAGGTTTTTATAATATATCTATTAGAATTATACCGTATTTTCTCTAATAGTATCCCAGCGAGCCGAGTTAGTGATTATTTTACGGTTCCAAAGTTTTCACAGAAGCTCAACACTTAAATCCCCCACAAGATCTCATCATCAGCTACATTTTCCGACCGCACATCGATAGGTTCTGATAAGCGGTTCTCGAGATTTCGAGGAATTTAGGCGACGCTCAGGGTGCACTACTATTAGAGAAAATACGGTATATATAAATATGATAATTTTTAAGATCTTAAACGTATCGGAAAGTCTCGGAAAGATTTCTGATGACAGTCACCAATGCAAAGAAAAAGAAACTTTAAGATAGGCGACTAACGGGTCTATGCCTTGTTGCATTTCTCGGTCTCCTTTGCATTCCTCCAATCGAGATTACAAAAGCCGCAAGTTGATCGGCAAACCCGGAAACCAAGTCGATAATGTTCTGTGTCACAAGACCATCTAAAATCTTTTAGATTCTTGATTTTATCTGAATCTTTACCTCCTCGCATTCCAAGCGTCAGTTCCTGTCTGAAATCTTGAACAGTAAGCAAGACTCATTCGATCGAAACAGTTCGTGGTATTTTGAGTCCCAGAGAAGAAGCTGAAATCTAAGATTATCCCTAACCAGTTTGGCATAAACCTGGCAGCTCTTTCTCGGTAATCGGTGCCCATCTCAGTGCAAGTCTTGCAGCAGACCACCAGAGAGAAGTCTGGTTCAGAGGCACATCTAAAGTTAAAACACTTGATGAAATAAAGAAATAGCAAGCAAGCTCACCTTGTTCCAAAGCCTCTTGGATCGTTTGTTTTCAAGGTTCTGCAGAGTGAGCCGCCTGACTCATCCCGACAACATGGGAGTTCACGATCTGAGACTTGTGGGACATTTCCAACTGTTCTTCCTAGAAATTTACTGTGCTGGTGATAATCCGACAAGACTCAAGAGTTGCATCATGACTTCAGCTTTACATCATGACTTCAACTAGGTACTTATCAAGGATAATCTAGTTCTAAAGACTTTCTTGCTTGCCTGAAAAACATGACCCTTAGGAGCGAGCAGCGAGCAACTCTCGGTTACAAAAACTTTGATCCTAGTTCGACTTCCTTGTCGAGAACAAAGAATTAGATTATCTTGACAAATAAGATAAGTTAAAAAACGCTTCAGATTAGCTTTCTGAAGCTTTGAAGCTGAATCTGAATCTGAATCTGAATCTGAATCTAAATCTGAATCTGAATCTGAATCTGAATCTGAATCTAAATCTGAATCTGAATCTGAATCTGAATCTGAATCTAAATCTGAATCAGTTTAACCTCAACAAAACTATTGATTATATTGTACTTGACAAATTTTGAGACAATATTCTTATTCCAAAACGATAGTCAAGCCTTATTCCAAAATAATGACCAATCCTCTTTTCACCAACCAATAATGAAACTCTTCGGGATTTGGATATTCGTTCTTTGAGGTAAAAGACGATAAGCTGGATGTTGATATCTCGGGCGATAAGCAAGCGAGTTGTCGGTAAGATTTTGAGCTAAAGTTGCGTTCAGATATGCTGGGTTTCTCTGAACAAACCTGATAAGAGCAATGGTAACAGTGCTAGTATCCAGCTGAAATCCATGACCTACAAATTGAAAAACATTAAGAAACTTCTAGAAGTCTTCTTCTAGAAGTCTTCTTCTAGAAATCTTCTTCTAGAAGTTTCAAGTCATGAAAAAATAAGCTTTTAGAAGAAAACTGTGGGTTTGCATGAAGATCTCATGAAAATATTTCAAAAGCAAATATCTCGAGTTGTCCGTTCCGCTATTTAACGGACTTTCTTCGTCGGAAAGATGACAGTTCATTGTGGAAAGACATTCGACACGTCATTTTCCGAAATCAAATAAATCTCTTTTCAAACAAACAAACAAGCCACTTCTTGATTCAATAGGAAAAGAGGTGATTTGGTTTTGAACGATGTCGGCTAATCCACAAAAAGTCTGAAGGCCCGGAAGCACGAAAATATTCTCAAGAACTTCCTCTTTTAGATCAAAGACAAAAACGATTTGAAAGGGAATGGAAATAGGCAAAATCTCTAGTAAAGCAGTAAAGTTTAGTAGTAAAGTTTCTGTTTTTTATTCAAAGTCACTGAAGTCACGACTAAATGGAGTTTCCGCTTGAAAATCGAAACCAAACACCAACTACTAGTCAACAATAGTTTTAGAAAAAGATAAAATTAGTTAATTTTAAGTTGGTTTTTGAAATGAGATGGATTAGGGTCATTATTGTAACAAGTATAGTCATTAATAATAACATTAATAACAAGTAACAAGGCATAACTGAATCATAAGTAAAATTCCAGATCATTAACCCGTATACTAAGCTCCAGAAAGCTTTTAACATAGGGTTTTCGCTTCTGTGTTTTCTGAAAGAGCTTTCGGAATGCTAAACGATAACGGAATGCTAAACGATAACGAAGTGCTAAAAGATAACGGAATGCTAAACGATAACGAAATGCTATCGGATAACGGAATGCTAAACGATAACGAAATGCTAAACGATAACGAAGTGCTATACGATAACGGAATGCTAAACGATAACGGAATGCTAAACGATAACGGAATGCTAAACGATAACGGAATGCTAAACGATAACGAAATGCTAAACGATAACGAAATGCTAAACGAAACCAAAAAGGATAGCTTTATAAACAAGGCTTTCGATTTATTAAGCTTTAAATTTTCACTTCAAAAACCATAGTTTGATAGGTGAATCAGGGTGAAAATTTTTCGACTATTTTTCTTGCAAGTTCAGCTTTTTTTCTCTGTAGCTATTTGGGTTTTAAACTTTATTTCAAGGGAATTCAAAGTCTTTTTGAATCAAATATTTCATTTTTTGAGCATTAACAACGCTTCCTTGACCATTCTCTAAGTCGATATCAAATTTTTCCTTTTATCGATAAACGTTTACTCAATAAAACAACAAAAAAATCAATCAAAACTGGTCATCCATGAATTTTTATTTGATATTGATGCGCCAGAAGCTTTACGTTTACAATGTGATCTCCTCATCATTTCCGGAAAGTTTTTAGTAGCTGTTACGCTTTCTTGGAAATTTTTCCGGCAGTATTTCCCGCTGCCGGAAACTTTCCCGGAGCGTAGCATCCGGCCTCAGCTCAGGTCAGGGCTAGCTGATCAGACTTATGGCCTTGATTGCAGAGAGAACTGACCAACAAGAATTTGGGATGCACTAGAACTCAAACCTGATCTGTTTCTTACCAATTTTGATCTGGCTCTGACCTTGTTTACAAGTTCTAGGCCTAGTTAAAATACTTCTAATTTTGCAGCAGTAAATCTATCAAGTCTATCAAGTATCTTCGCAACAAGTGGCCTCAAAAAATCCAGTCAAAACATCGGCTGCTTTCACTGATATCTTTGTCCAGTCTATTGTCAATGAATTTCCTCCTTTCAATCGCTTCCTGGCAGCAATTCTTACCAGTTTCCCATTTCGTTCCGTTCTGATTATTTCAATTCCCATTTTCAGGACTGTTTATTTCTTTATTTCTTTCTGCTAATCTGTAAATAACTGTCAATTTGGGGTTTTGCCCTCGCAACACTCTTCCCCATAAAGCCATTTATCGACACTTAGAAGATTTCTTTTTCTGTTTTTCCACTCGCGACCCATCAAATCGCCCTGTCAATCAAATAAAAACAATTTCTCGCTTTTCCCCCTTTCGCCTCTCTTTTTTTTGTTATGAAAACATAAAAGTCGATTGCTTTTTGTGAGACTTCTCGAAAACAACACCATAAATGTCGAAAAAGATACCAAAATCTTGATTTCAGAATTGTAAAATGGTTTTGTGGAGAAATTCTTGAAGATATCATCAGATTTCGGTGATAGCATCAGATTTTTCAGCTGTTTTCATTAGTCGAAGAAAATCTAAGATAAATATTAGGATAAATTTGCGGGAATTGCGAGATTGCGGTGATAGCATCAGATTGCCTAAGCCTGAGCATCAGATTGTCTAAACCTGAGCACCAGATTGCCTAAGCCTGAGCACCAAATTGTCTAAGCCTGAGCATCAGATTGCCTAAGCCTGAGCATCAGATTTTTCAGCTGTATTCAATATTCGAAGATACAATCTCAGAAAGTCTAAGATAAATATTAGGTTTTCAATCAAATTTTGCATTTTCAGACTATGACTCTTAAAATTCCGTAACTTCTGTAAACTTGTCTGATTTTTTAGGAATCTTTTGACTGGCCAATCCATTGCCAAAGAGGTTGACTCGAAGAAAAATCTGTGCAATATTTGAAAACTTATCGTCTTGACTCTTCTAAAGATATAGAAAAAAAAATGCGCTACATTTATAAATGTAGCGGATTTTTGTAGTTTTCTAGTGATCTAGTGAATATAAAAGTTCTGCTTTACGAGCTAGTACCCAGATTTTTCTATATTTTGATTCAAGCAGTTCAAGAGCTCTGGCTCAGTCTTCAAATTCCCAGCAAGAATGAGCGTCTCCCCAGGAACGTATTTGTCTGAGAATTTCGTAAAATCATTCTTTTTTCCTCTAAATTCTTGGATCGTTCGACGTTAAAACACAGAGAAAAAAAGGCAAATGAAAGGGACGGGGTTTTGACGTAAAAAAGTTGTTTTTCTCGTTTTCGCCGCGTTGTTGAGGAGAGGAAGGGTCGAGAAAAAAGGAAAAAATGGGGAAAGCGCTTTGCAACAACAATCATCCCTAGACATTTAGAAGAAATATTTGGGGATTTCTGGAGGTTGAAGAGATAAACTAACACTAGAAATATTGGGGATTTCTGGAGGTTCAAGAGATAAACTAACACTAGAAATATTGAGCTGAGTTGAAGAAGTTAGAGATAGATCTTTAGAAGTCTAGAATTTGAAGATTTCATAGAGTTAGAGAAGAAAATTTTCAGAAATATCCTAGTTTAGAGAAATTTTTGGTGTTTTTTGAGAGAAAGCGGAGAGAATCAGAGCTCGAGAAGAGTTGGAAAAGCAAAAAAAAAAACGTTCGAAAGATAATGGATAAAAGAGAAAAAACAGTGGAAAAGAATAAAGTTTAGGAAATTGGAGGAAAGTTACCGAAAAAGGAAGTAGAGAAGGAGGGAATTGAGAGAGACAGACTGGTGAACTAGAGGCAAAAGAAATTTGAGAGATTTAGAGTTTTGTGATAAAGATCTTCACAAAGAGAGAAAGAAAAAGAGTCGATCAATTCCCTTTCCTACATACACACACTACGCGACAAAACACCGCTCTTCAGACGCTTTCCTTTTCTCTCTTCTTCTCTTCTCTGTCTCTGTTCTCTGTTCTGTCTCTGTTCTGTCTCTGTCTCTGTTCACTGCTCTTCTCTGCTCTGTCTCTGTTCTGTCTCTGTTCTCTGCTCTTCTCTTCTCTGTTCTTCTCTTCTCTGTTCTTCTCTTCTCTGCTCTATTCTCTTTCAATCCATATATCTCATTTGTTTCTCTAATTCTTTCTATTCTTTCAAAAGCTAGTTTCTCTGGATCCTTTTCTTCTTCTTTCTCTCTTTCTCTAACAAACAACTCTTCTCTCTTTCCCCAATCTTTCCACCTCTACCAATCTTGACTATTTTACCCTCGTTTTCTTTCTATTCACTTATTTTTCCTTAACTCTATCTATACTTCGCTTCATTTCCTTTTCCACCCCTCTAGCCCTCTATACCAACTTTTTCTTCTTCAATTCTCTTCAACCTTTGCTTCAGTCACAACTCCCTACCCACCACTCCTTTCATCTATCATCCTTTTCTCAGCTCTCTTCAATGCTACTCTATCAACTAACCGTTTTCTCGACTCTTTGCCACTTTTCCGAATCTCTCCCCATCACTCCTCTCCTCCTCTTCCCCTCCTCTTCCCCTCATCTACCCCTCCTCTTCCCCTCCGTCTCCTCTCCTTTTTTCGCGCAAGTCGGCACTTTAGTCACTTCCCCTTCCCTTCTTTTCGTTGTTTTCGACTATTTGGTCCGTGTTTTTGTTATAGCTTTCAGTTATTCCTTTTTGAATAGCTTCAAAACCAAAACCAATCGATAAATGAAATTCACGTGTGCTTTCCCTCAACCTAAACCCTCTTTTCATCACGTGCAAGAACGACATTTGCATTTCATTTTTGTTTCAATTTTTCGTAACCATTTCTATATTTGATTTAAAACCTAAAACTCATTTGAATGTGCTGTTTTAAGCTATTTTTTTACAAATTAAAGATGCCTTTCTCTCAAAACATTCTTTGATTTGTTTATCGCAAAATTTGGATTACTTCAGTAAATTCATTATTGTTTATCAAAAGGAACGGTTTTTTTTTCACTGAGCCTCTTAGTAATCCGAAATTTTTGAGGTAAACAATGGGGAAAGATTTCTTAATATCTCTTCTTTCTTGAAGAAGATTTAGAAAAAAGAGAATGAAACATTTAAATTTATAGAATAATATTTGAGTATGATTTTTAGTTTATTAATCAATCAATCAATCAATTCTAGTTTGAATATTCAAAGTAAAAGCTGAAATTTTGATTAGAAGAACCAACTTTAATCATATCTTACTAAGTTTTCTACTGTAAATCTAGAAAGAGATGATTTGGTTTTGAACGATGTCGGCTAATCCACAAAGTGGATTAGC